GACACAGCAGAGGAGAAACAGTGGCCCTGAAGACCAAGCCTGGCGAGCAGCCCCAATGCAGCAGACAGAGGTAGAGATGCCACCAGGAGAGGCAGGAGAGAGGGGGGAAGACAGAAGTGGAGACACTGCCAGCAGAGACGTAGGAGAGAGGATGAGAAGGACCAAGCCCGCTGGCCTTTTGTCTGCTCATGTCTATTTTCGTTGTTAGGTTTTTCACTGCTATTTACAGCATGAAAAAAAAAAAAAAAGATCATCTGAGTATTAATTTTTTAAATTTTACTTGTCCTTGTGCAATTTAACTAAATGACTTCTGTACCTAACTGCTGTGTATATAAAGGCACCTTTTACATAAACGCCCTATACGAGGGCCACACGAGCTGCTCCTGGAAAACTAACAAGTCTGAGTTAAGGTGAGCGAGAATTCTGAAACTCTGAAACGTCAGACACTTCGCTGTCGGGGTGGGGGAGGAGAGGAGGTGAAGAAAACTGTGGGAATTCTGAAACTTGGCCCAAGTTCACAAACCTGAACTGAGTTTCCCAATCAAGGACAAAACAAGCTATAGCTCAGGGTTTCAAGTTTCCCTCCAGACACTGAAGCTGCAGCACCAGTTAGCACAAGGAGAGCAGGGAGTGACTGCAAGCTGTTTAAAAAGAAACCAAAAGCCACTTGCCCTCCCTCTGGCTCTGACGGTGCCTGCAGAGCTGCCAGGAGCCCCACTTCCAAGGCCACTCAGGGCGAAGGTGCTGGGAGGGAGGTGCCCGGTACAAAAGCTACCCACAGGCCACACACCCAGAAACCACCAGCCCCGTCACAGAGCACCGTGCCCCAGGCCTGTGCCAACCCAGCCGCTCACATTCCCCAGGCAAGAGACAGCCTGGAGGGGCCTTGGCAGGAAAAGGGGCAACACAGAGGGGCCATTTGCTCCCCTCTTGCCCGTCTGAAAAAACCAGTTAGCTCCAGTTCCAAAAAATTCAAATCGTGTAGTTATTTGAACAAACAAATTAAAATTTAAATACTGGCATGACACATCTCAGATGTCGAGTCACAAATAAAGCCCTCCACTTACTCACTAAAGTCAACCAATGTCCAGAAGGAAAGCTTTCCCAAATTCTCTCCTACGCCTGGCCGCATCTGACCACAATGGCCAAACCACTCCACTTTCACTGTTCTGCGTCGCTGAGCTGACACAATCAATAAAAGCCCACTGACGTTCTCAGGGCTCTTTTTAACGAGAAACCAGATGTATCCTCGGCCACCTGCAGAAGACGGCTGAGCAGCGCTCACAGTGCCCAGAGCAGGTTGGCCCAGACCTCGGCCATGAGCACAGGCCCATGGCGGGTTGAGGACCCCGGGAGCTGCTAGGCTTGGCCTTGTTAGCGTAAGGCCCAGAGACCAGACGCCCGAGGCCCTACTCCCAGAAAGGCAGTCCCAGGCAACGGGGGTGAGTAGGGAGGGAGGCAGCTCCTACTCAGCTACACTCTGTTCAGTTAAATCGACTTCCCAAAACACAGGGCCTGCAGAGGCTCCCAGGCAGGTGACCACATAACACAGGGGAAGGGCTGGGACCTGCTCCCGGGCTGCGGCTCCAAGGCCACAGGGGCAGAGAGATGTCCAGGCCTGGCCGGCAGCTTCCAGGTAACCCAAAGGCAGGGCCTGGGGCCCTAACCCAAGCCAGCGACGGTGTGCAGCACCATCCAAAAGTCTCCGACAGTCTCTGGGCCTCCTCTGGGTCTCAGCTAGTCTCACTACCACCAGGATGGAGAGCGGAGGCCGCAGCAGGGAGGCCCCCATACCAGGGCAGAAAACCAGGACGAGAAGAGGAAGGGGAAACAATCGAGACCCCTAAGAGAGCAGCGGGCAGCAGAGGGCTGGGCGAGAGAAGCGGTGTGCCGGACGCAGCACATGGAGAGAGGCACGCTCAGCAGCACAGACGCCCGGCAGCCCCGGCCGGTGCAAAACCAAGACGGTCTCTCACTATGAGAATTCCAACCAGCATGAATGACAACCAAGAAACCCTAAAAAACACGTTCCAAAGGAAGGGGAAAGGCAAGTACTCAAAAACCCTGAAGAGCTGGAGCAGGTCAGGGAGAGCAGGAGAGAGAGGACAGGCCCGTGGGGGTTCCTCTGCCTTCTGTTCCCTCCTCTTAACATGCGCTCACACACAGACCTGGGGTGCCCTGGCCCCAGGATCAAGAATCCTGCTGAGAAGGGAAGCTGGAGCCTGCCCCCCACCCTCACCCCCCAAGTTCCCTGGTCCGATCCCACTGTCCTGCCCCAAGATAGAGAATCCCACTGGGAAAGGAAGCCAGAGCCTGCCCACCACCCTCACCCACTAAGCCCCCTGGTCCTATCCCACAGTCCCACCCACTGGTCTAAGTCCCTTGAGGAGGGCAGAGACCTGAGACACAGCCAGGTGTGGGTGCCCTCCGCCCCAAGCCGTCCCTGAAGTCATGCCCCGGGGGACAGGATGTTGCTGCGTCTCCCCTACAGCCATGGCTACCAGCCTGGGAGACTGAAGCCAGGCCTCTGGATTTTCTGCAGAGTTTTCATTTCCTTTCTCCTTTCCTCTAGATGCAGCACCCCACGAGGAACACAAAGGATTAAAACAAAAACAATCTTGTATTTCAAGGTCAAAGATGTGATGCCCTTCCCTCATCACAGGTATTCCGTGAAAGACACATTTCCTTCCTCCTGCAGACACACCAGCACTCATGAGCCCTTCACAATCAGGAAGACTGAAGCCCAGAGAGGTCGGTAACTGCTGCCCCAAGTCACAGAGGGCAAAGACGGCAGAGCCAAGACTGCAGTCCCAGCACACAGCATACTCAAGAGGACGACGCTGCAAGGGGCCGGGGTGGGATGGCCAGGACAGAGAGGAAGGGGCCGAGATGGACGGGACAGAGAGGAAGGGGCCGGGGAGGGATGGCCAGGACGGAGAGGAAGGGGCCAAGCTGACCACATCGTCTGCCTCACCCTGCAACTAAAAAGTAGGAAAGCTCAACTGGGACCGGGCACCCAGGCCTGCACGCTCCTAGGGAGTGGCACTGACACAGAGGCTGCAGCGCCGGCACCTGCCTGGGTCCCTCACAACCCCCGCAACATACACTGGCACCAGCACTACCCGCAAAGAGCAGCCATCGCCCCAGGTGCCCCTCCCTCCCCACCCAGGGGCTGCCTCTGCCTCTCCCTCATCCATGGGACAGGTCCCTAAAAAGCTCGCAGGGAGGGCACCAGGCATGGTGCTGCGCTCCCGCAGTCGTGGCCATCCGGGAGGCAGGAGGAGCGCCTGAGGACAGGAGTTTGAGTCCAACCTGGGACCCCGGGTCTCAAAAAACAAACAAACACAGGGAGAACACACACCCCTATTCCTCCACCCCCCACTAAAAGAAAGCTATCACTAAAATCCTCAGATAAGAAAAGCTACTGTAACTACCACATGAGAATGGGATGCTATAAAAGGAACACTCAAAACAAAACAGAGCTCACGGAAACCAAAATTAGAAAGGTGACAGAAGGGACCAGAAGGGACCCTGACAATCTGCAGCCCAGCCTTCTGGAGGACTGGAACCTTCCACCTTGCTCTCTGACATCCTGAGCCACCACACAGCTGACCACCTCTGAAATGCTAAGTGGAGGATGATCTCAGGCTTCCAGCTGCCCCCTCCAGGACACGAGGCAGGTGAATGAAGCTGTCCTAAACCCTCCAGACCAGTCCCCTGGCCACTTTCTCCCACCAGGCCAGCCCCGTTGGCGTGCATGAACAGACGCAGCACTCAGCCAAGCCCTGCCCAAACTCCTGACAAATATCCTGAGACAGAATAAAATGGTGCTCATTTTAAGCCATCCAGCAATATAGTAAGAGGGACAGGGACCTGCTGTTTCTTGCGATGAGACTTACATAACTCTTCATAAAGTATGTGGATGTCTCATTTGGATAAAAGTCACCAAAAAAAACATCTTAGTGGATCAAACGATCCTGGGAAACATGGCAAAACCCTGTCTCTACACAAAATTTGTCAGGCGCAATGACTGTGCCTGTAGTCCCAGCTACTGGGGAGGCTGAGGCAGGAGGATCGCTTGAGTCCAGAAGGCTGAGGCTACAGTGAACTATGATCTCGCCACTGCTCTCCAGCTTGGGTGACAGAGACCCTGTCTCAAAAAAACAAAAAGCAATTAAATATGAAAGTCAAAGCAAAGCCATGTAAAATCTTAAGTCTTAAGGAAAAAAATTTAAAACAGCACGTCTGTCCTGGCCAGCTTGTCCCTACGCCACAGCCCTGCAGCCTCTGCCCCGCAGCCTCAGGCTCCACCACAGGCCAGCCACCAGCTCACCCCATCTGCTTCCCCAGTCCCCAAACTGACACCACATTCCCATCTTCACTAAAGCCGGGGTGACGGCCTTGGATTAAATAAGCAAGCAAGCACTTTGGGGGGTTGGGAAGTAGAAATAAAAGCTGGCCTCCCCAAAAAAAAGCTGGCCCCAAAATTAAGCACCTCTGTAATTTAAAGTTGGGGGTGGTTTGTGGGAGTCCACAGCCGGCCCCCTCCCCTGCACGCGCACACCCTGCGCCACGGCCCTTGCCGCAGCCCTTGCGGTGCCTGGGGACGGGCAAGCTCCGGCAGGTCCCTGCAGCCAGGCGCTGGGGTAAGCTGCCTCCCTGCCGGCTCAGCTCCCGAGGAGGACCAGGGACAGAGGCTCTCAGGAGCGGGGTAGAGGGTGGAAGGCACACAGACCCGACAGGCCTCACTGGACCCTTCATGGCAAGGACACCATGAATGCGGTACCTGCTGCATACACATGCTCGAGTTCTAAAGAAAAGTCTCACACGTCTTTCTCGTAACACCAAATATTCATTGGGTGTGATGAGTAGAGTCATCTATACTCTCACTGTGGACACATGTAAAGCCCCCCTACCTGTGGCCACCCAGGCAGCACCGAAGCCGCAGTCACAGACAGCGGCAGACCCTTCGAGACACTTGCTCGCAGGATCCAGGGCTGGGGAGGCTGCCCGCAGCAGCTCGGTGGGTGCAAACACATGAATCGTAGCTGCGGGCAGGAGGAATATCAGGTGCATCTCTACGCCCTGAGGGCTCAACTCCTACACTTAAATCCCTCCCACTGGAACAGCCGGCTCCAGTTTCACCGAGCAAGCGTGAGAACAAGTACTGCTTCCTGAGCACCTCCAGCCACCAGCACCCAGACCCAGCCACATCCCAGCACTGCCCACCTCTGGTAAGTACTTACTATTTCTTTTCAAAGTCAAGTTTTCTTTTAAAACTCTTCTCAGGCATATCTAAAATACCTAGCTGAGCGCAGCGTTTGCCCGTGTCTGTTCTGCCTTGCTCTGGGCTCTGAGGATTACTCAGGATCCAGCAGGTGCACAGCTGGGATGCAGACCACGGTTACAAAACTTATAATGAGGCCGACACTTTATTCTAAGAACATGAACAAGCTTATCCAGAAATCAACTCCTTGTTCTGCCCTAAAATTCACAAAAGTTAAACCAACACCAATTGATATTATTGCTTAACTGTTCCTAACCTCAAAAACAAACTACAATAAATGCCACCAAGAGATAAGGGTCATATATATGTGTTTGTAGTGTATGTACATTACCCAGAGCTGAATCTAAAGAGATGTATGTGTGTGGTGTATGTACATTAGACAGAGCTGAATTCAGGGTTCTATGTGTGTGGTATATGTACACTAGGGTGAATTTAGGGTTCTATGTGTGTGATGTATGTAAATTAGGGGGAATTTAAGGTTCTATGTGTGTGGTGTATGTACATTAAGGTGAATTTAGGGTTCTTTGTGTGTGGTGTATGTATGTTAAGGTGAATTTAGGGTTCTATCTGTGTGGTATAAGTACATTAAGGGGAATTTAAGGTTCTAGATGTGTGGTGTTTTACATTAGTGTAAATTTAGGGTTATATATGTGTGTGGTGTATGTACATTAGGGCTGAATTTAGGGTTCTGTGTGTGTGGTGTATGTACATTAGACAGGGTTGAATTTAGGGTTCCATGTGTGTGGTGTACACTAAGGTGAATTTAGGGTTATATGTGTGTGGTATATGTACATTAAGGGGAATTTAAGGTTCTAGATGTGTGGTGTTTTACATTAGGGTAAATTTAGGGTTATATATGTCTGTGGTGTATGTACATTGGGCTGAATTTAGGGTTCTGTGTGTGGTGTATGTACATTAGACAGGGCTGAATTTAGGGTTCCATGTGTGTGGTGTACACTAAGGTGAATTTAGGGTTATATGTGTGTGGTGTATGTACATTAGGGCTGAATTTGGGGTTATATGTGTAAGGTGTATGTACATTAGACAGAGTTGAATTAGGGTTGTATGTGTGGTGTATGTACATTAGATAGGGCCAAATTTTACGTCCAGTTTAACTTTTAAAACTTTTAAAGTTTAAAATAAGGACTTTAGTTTACATAAATTTTAAAACTGGACATAAGTTTACAAAAACAAAACCAAACAGAAGGGGTGAAGTTTGTGTTTGGTTGTGAAGGTTCTTATGTACATACAAACACAGACACACAAAGGGCTGTTTCCTTCTACGAAACTTCTCATAAATCTGATTTGGAGGAGAACAATTCTTGACCAAGCATAATCCGTCCACATTTGCTACCCGAATTTTCACTGCGCATTAGCAAAGGCCTTCCAGCGTTTCTGACCCGAGGCAGCGGCTGTGAAGTGGTGTGTGTTCGTTTACAAGCTCAGGTCTGTGACTTGGGATCTCCTGCCGAAACTAGAACAAGAGCCCCTGCTTGTTTTTCTGGATCCATCCTTCCAAATTAGACTGTCTTTTCCCCAGGTCACGGTTGTCCTGAGGTCTATCCTTCATGTTAAAGAACCGAAAGGCAGGGAGGGAGTGGTGGCCAATTGCTGGAAAAGCTCAATTAGAGTAAAACTCACAAATCTCGTTCTTGCGACATCCCAGTGTGTAGGCGACAATGGCGTGTCCTTGAGTTATGCAACAACGCCACATCACAATATTGTAATTACAGCATGCCCTTCACAACACTCCAGCCGAGGAGGCTCCTTGCCAGACAGCTGGACACCAGCAGAAGGAGCATTACAGCACAGTCTCGGGGCACGGGTTAGGACACATGACAAGCATAGTTACCCAGCCGGCCACAGAAACGTCCTAGCGAGTTAAACTATAATTACCTCCACTGTGTCCTATCAAAGTTTTTTTTTTTTTTTTTTTTAAGAACTCTTTCTCATATCTATTTTTCAAAGTTCAAACTCCTTAGAAAACTTGTTAAGCACACAAACCACTCACTATTACCCTAAAACTAGCAACTGCACTGACTGTCCACACTTAGGAAGCTTTGGAGAGACAGTGCTTTAAAAACAAGACAGACACAACCCGGTGGCCAACCGAAACCACTCAGTCTTCAAAGGAGTGTCTGTGTGGGCAGCTACACCCCAACACCCAGCCCAGTGCACGCCGAGCAGGAAGAGAAGTAAACCCTCGGCTCAGCGCACTTCCCCACGACATTTAAAATGCTTAGAAAGGCAGAGTGGCATCTGTAAATGTAGCAAGAAAATCTTGGTGAAAGCTCAGCTGGATCCTGAGCATGTTTTAAGCCACTGCACCCCACTTTTCTTATGGCCTTTAGGGTAGACACTGTCTACACTGGCTGCCTGGTCTGAAATAATTTGGAGAAAGAAGGTTTTGCGCCAGGCCGGGCTCAGAGGAGGTGTGCTGGAAGCGAGCACACATTAGCCAGCAGCAGGCAGGGAAGACTCTGTGCATGAGTATTTCAGTAACAGCCACCTTTGATCCAGATCTGGAAGCTCTGTGGAATGGAATGTCCACCCCTGCTAATGCTTCCTACCAATAGCGTGGGAAATAAGACAAGGATGAGCCCCTCCTTCAGGACCACACTGAGGTCTTAGCTGTAAACCACACTAGCACTGCAGTTCTCAAATGAAAGCCAAATAATGAACGAGACTCTGCTTTTATTAATTAACTAAAATAGAAACATACCTCCCCGAGGAGAGGAAGATGTCCAGAGCTTCTCTATCACCTTTAGAGAAAAACCGTACCTCTAAATGCAAATACAAATGACTATACATAGCTCAAGTTCTGGGTTATGCTGTTTGGGCAACACTATACCCTTCCGGGAATATTAAACACCAGCAGCTGCCAGAGCACCACGTCGGGCTGGAGAAACTGACCGGACAGAGACTAAGTCAAACTTTGTGCCCACAGACAGATGTGACCACCTGAGGTCCTGGTTGTGGGGTTTGGTTTCTTCATCCTTACAAGCCTCACTGAAGCAGAACACAGAACTCCCAGGCTGACATCATCATCATTTGAAAGCTTACAAAAGCAACAATTTTACCTCACTTATCTCCCTGACACTATTGCAGTTTTATGGATCAGGTGAACTCCGCCCGGCTTACCTCTGAAACAGCTGTACTCCCTGCTTTAATAAGCTAATCGTGCAAGCCTGAGAGGTCAGTTTATCCAAGGTTACTAAAACTACCGCCGAGACTCTGCTTTACACACATTCCCTTCGAGCCATGAAACTCTGAAACGCTCTCGCCCACCAGAGGCTTCCTCCCCACCACGCCACGTCTGCATACATCAACTAACTGATCAAAGAACGAAAGGGCAAATCGTTCAAAACTTCAGATAATCACATCTGACTAAAAAAAAAGTACATATTAATTTAAAAGCAATTATTTTCCTAATTACCGTTTGGGGCAACAGCATAACTTACAGGTAACCTTCCTCCTGTAAAGATTTTGAGAAAATCTAACCAACACGGGGGTTTTTCTTGGGTTTTTTTTTTTCTTTTGCCTGAACGTGAAATAACACTGCTTTGGAAACTAAAGTCCTCGTTTTCTTAAATCCTGAGGGGATCACCTGCTCCTCTGCGCGCTTGTTTCAGGCGCTAGAGGTGGTGTTTCTATGGCCGTACCCCAGTATCGCGAGGACGCAGCTCTCACTTCATGAACGTTTTGCAACTGTCATCGTTTTGATCATGATGCTTCCAGCTAGTGATGAAATCATCAGTTTTCAGATCCCTGCCATAACATATCCTATACAATCATGGGAACCTGACTTGCAGAGGTTCTCACGCCTTCAGAACCAGGGAGCTCAGCGAGACGTGCCCGCACAGGCCCCACTGATCTGCCAGACCCAGTGCTTGGCTGGAACCAGGCACCGGCTTCTCTGCTTCCTGAAGGGAGACAGGGAAGCTGCTTTTCACCCGGGGCAAGTCTGACCCACAAGGTAGGGACTGAGCCCATGAGAAGAACTGTTTCATGTTCTTTCTTCTGACAGGGGAAATGAGAAAGAGAAAGCTGTCATGATGGGTTTAATTTTCTTGGCTTTCACCTGGGGCCTGGTAGCCTCTCTGGCAGCCCATGGGAGAGAGCGCTGAGCAGGGGTCTGAGCCGCAAGGTGTCACCCGACACCCTCCCTGGTTTGGTTATGGGGTAACAAACATCAAGTCCTCATCGAGAAACCCCTGCCGCACTGTCCCTGCTACATAGAAACTCTCATCACAGCAAAGGCAGCAGGTCAGCAGAGCCCCTTCTTAGTAAATCAATGTCTTAAAAAGAACTTAAAAGTATGTTAATGGAGGCAATTTGTAGGGGGAAGGGTGGTTCTGTGTGTTTTCAAGAAATGTGAATAAATGAGTAGAGAAACCAGTTTGCTGAGAATAAAATGAGAGCACTTCCCTAGAGATCAGGGTGGCCATATGGAAGCCCAGCCTCCAATCCTGCCCTGGCATGTGGGAGGAAGGACACAGGGGTGCAGGGAGGAGGAAGGGGGTCCCTTGCTTCAGGGATGGCTGACTCCTGGGTGCATGTGTGCACATGCACGCAAACGCAAACACACACACACACACACACACACACACACACACACACACGGCTCTATTCAAGGGGTGGCTTTTCATTTGACTTTTAACCACCCTGATGTCTATATACAAAACCTCACAGACTCAAGACTGGGCACATCTGCCCATTCCTTACAACGAACCTGCAATTGAAACCGTTTACTAAATCATTTCCATCTAGCTGTTTTCTGAAGCAGGGTCTCACTGCACCCAGGCTGGAGAGCAGTGGCATGATCACTGCTCGCTGCAGCCTCAACCTCCTGGGCTCAAGGGATCCTCCCAACTCGGCCTCCCAATGTGTGGGGTATCAGGCATGAGCCCCCACACCTAGCCCTTCATTTAACTTTATTTCTATGCATCATTTTAATTATACTTTAAGTTCCAGAACACAAGTGCACAACGTGTAGGTCTATTACATAGGCACCCATGTGCCACGGTGTTCTGCGGCACCTATCAACCCGTCATCTAGGTTTTAAGACTACATGCAGGCCGGGCGTGGTGGCTCAAGCCTGTAATCCCAGCACTTTGGGAGGCCGAGGCGGGTGGATCACGAGGTCGAAAGATCGAGACCATCCTGGTCAACATGGTGAAACCCCGTCTCTACTAAAAATACAAAAAATTAGCTGGGCGTGGTGGTGCGCGCCTGTAATCCCAGCTACTCAGGAGCCTGAGGCAGGAGAATTGCCTGACCCAGGAGGCGGAGGTTGCGGTGAGCCGAGATCACGCCATTGCACTCCAGCCTGGGTAACGAGAGCGAAACTCCGTCTCAAAAAAAAAAAAAAAAAAAAAAAAAAAGAAGACTACATGCATTAGCTGTTTATCCTTCTGCTCTCCCACCCCCAGACAGGCCCCGTGTGTGATGCTCCCTCCCCTGTGTCCACGTGTCCTCACTGTTCAGCTCCCACTTATGAGTGACTACATGCGTGTTTGGTTTTCTGTCCCTGCGTTGGTTTGCTGAGGACAGTGGCTTCCAGCTTCATTCCTGGAAAGGACATGATCTCATTCTTTTTAATGGCTGCACAATATTCCATGGTGTATATGCACCACATTTTCTTTATCCAGTCTATCATTGATAGGCATTTGGGTCATTTAACTTTAAGCTGTTTGAAAATATTTAGATACTAAAGACCTTTTTACATTTGTAATAGAAATTAAAAGTGCTCAGCCCTGACCCACTGTACCTCCACCCCATGCCCCCATGCTGTCTCCCAGACACATCTGCTGCTTGGGTGGCTCCAGGCCCTTCCGCCGCATGGAGAGCCCCAGACTCTCGAAGCCTTTGTTCTCGACCTTGGCTTAGGAGGCCGAGTGAGGGCCCTAGCGGTGTGCAGCGAAGCCTCTGAAGGAAACCTGGTGGGGGAAGGGAGACACGAAGACCCTCTGGAAGAATCCGGAAGGGCAGGCCAGCCCTGACATCACAGACACAGCCCTGGTCCTGAGTCCCTGGGACCCACAGTCCCAGGACCTGAGCGGGTATGGCCAGAGGGCTGGACCCACTCCCTAAAGGTTAAAGGGCAGGACAACTTCCTCCCATGACCAACCAACTCTAAAGCAGACACTGTTCACTCTAGTCTCCTCTCAGGCACAAGTACGGCAAAGCTTTGGTTCTGCCATTTGGAGGTGCAACTGGATGGGCAGGGGCTGCTGGCCACGCCTCCTGGCCAGCAGGAACGCGGTGACCGTGAAAGCACATCCCACAATGCTGGTGTCACACACAGGATGTATAAATTCACCCCAACAGTATTTCAACCATTTAAGTCAGCATAAATATAGCATTTATATTCACATGAGGCCTAAATGGTGCTTAATGACAAAGCCGACTTTAGAAGCAGTAGGGTGGAGTCCTGTGTTTGAACGTTCTTCGTTTTTAAACAACCACACGTAGAATACACCAACAGCATGGCTGAGAGGGCAGAACAGCTTAAGTGCCGAGGGATCGGCCCCGAGAGAGGCAAGGAGCGCCCCTGGGCTCGGGCTCCGCAGACCGACGGCAGGGCACTTAGGCGAGCTCCCCGCGTGCTGCCCTTGGGCGAGCTCCCGGCCGGCAGGCAGATGGTGTCCGGCCCACGCCCTGTGCAAAACTGAGGGAGCACTCTGAGGCTACGGGGTGCACGTCAAGGGGAAACGGCCCCAAGCCCCTTTGCATTTAACATGACAGTATGGCCGATCACATTGCCAGTGTTTCAAGCGTGTGACCCCTGGAGCAGAGTCGGGCAGCACTGGGAAAGGATGCTCTCCAGACCCTGGAAGGGGGCTCAGCATCCTCAGTCCCCACAGGGTGCCCTCAAGTAAAGGTCCAGGTCACAGGATAAGAGTTCCCAAAATTCAAAGACTTACAGGCATTCTCAGAACAGACACACACACACCACACTCCACCTCTAAGCCCCAAGGCAACTCTTTCAGGTCAGGCTCAGAAAACAGAAAACATGGTGGGGAGTTGGCAGCCGGGTTACCAAGGGCAGGGCTGCTTCTGTGACCGGCAGCCGCTCCCCTCAGGAGAAGGCGGTCTCAGCTCTTTGGAGGGATCTCTGCTTCAGGGCTTCTTGCCGACCCCTCCCCCGCCACCCTGACACCAAGACTGTTCTTTGTTGCAGCTCCTAGATGACGGAGGCTCTTGCTAGGCCCTCGGCACACAGAGCTGGCTTCCGATAGACGTGCTCGGAAAAGAAAGGAGAGCGGAAGGTGCCTCTTCAAAAACCACGGAGTCCACAAGGCGTTAGCAGTGACCACGCCACTGAGACCATCAGAGTCTGAGGCATAAGGAGGAAAATGAGTCTCCTCAAAGAGCGGAAACCAAAAAAGCCACATTACATCCCACGGCCTCCAGGAAAGCCCTTCAAGTATAAATGCTTCCAGTGTCCCTTCACTTGCAACGAGAAGTCACATCTTTTCAATCACATGAAGTATGGTCTCTGTAAAAACTCCATTACTTTAGTATCAGAGCAGGATCGAGTTCCCAAGTGCCCTAAATCTAACTCGCTAGACCCTAAGCAAACCAACCAGCCCGATGCCACAGCAAAGCCAGCCTCTTCCAAGTCTGTCGCAAACGAACTCTCCGCCTTCAACCTGAAGCTTCAGCACAGCTCTGCCAGGGAAGACATCAAGGAAAACCTGGAGCTGCAGGCCCGGGGGACCCACAGGTGCCCAGGACAGAAGCCAGCCCTCCACCGGGAATCGGCGTGTGGAAGCCCAGCTCCGGAAGCCATCCTCGGCGCCCAGCCTGCTCTGGAAGGCGCAGCTCGGCCTTCTGCATTTGTTCCAGTCGGGGAGCACAGACTCAAAGGGCCAGACAATGCCGAGGCGTCCGAGACCCTGGCTGTACCCAACCCCGTGGCCAAGGCCACCCCCTTCCACACCAAGTCTGCCTTCCACGCTCCTGGCTACCCCTGGAAAGCTGGCTCACCTTTCCTCCCGCCAGAGTTTCCACATAAAATCTCATCTGCAAAGGGGCTTGGGGCCATTTCTCCTTACATGCACCCTACGATCCCAGAGTACCCACCCCACTTTTACACAGAGCACGGGCTGGCCACCATCTACTCACCTTACCTGCTGGCTGGGAGCTCGCCCGAGTGTGAGGCACCTCTGCTGTCGGTCTACGGAGCCCAGGACCCGAGACACTTCCTGCCTCACCCGGGGTCAGTCCCCAAGCACCTCACTCCATCTCCACCAACATATGATCATTACAGGTTCTTCCAGCAGTATCACTCTAATCTGCCACTTCCTTACGGATTTTACAGGCCAGAGTCCGCGTTTTCCTCCTATGCTCTCAGGCTCCCGCCCGTCACTGGCCTTGCCCGAGATCATAGCTCTCACCTGCTTGAAGAAGCCACCCTGGTCTATCCAGCCTCGAGTCCTTTCAAGCTAAACTCCTCAGACCCCAACAGAAAACACATCGAGTTTGAAAGTCCAATTCCTGAGGTGAAAGATTCCTCCAAGGCTGGGCAGGGGGACACAGAAGGGTCCAAAATGAGCCCCCGTGCAGGGAGCGCAGCCACAGGCTCCCCAGGGAGGCCAAGCCCCACCAACTTCACGCAGACAAGCCAGACCTGCGAAGGCCTGTACGACCTCTCCAACAAGGCAGCCTCCGCTGTGCTGGGACGACTCTGCCAGCCAGAGCAAAGCCTCACAGCCTTCAAGCCTGTCAAGAAAAGCACGGGCTGCCTACATGCTGAGGCTCCTGAGACCAGAGCGGAGTCTCCTATAAGGTAAGAGACTGTCATGCTTAAAACTTCCAGGGGAATGTTTCTGGTTGGGTTCCATGAGCCAGGTTTACACTTGCTCAAACCGCTTCACACAGGTTGCTTTTCTAAGCAAGCTCCTACTAAGCTTTCTCTTGGCTTCTTCTAGCCTCAATGCCGTGAATGGAGAGCCTCCTGCTCAGACAGGAAGCACCTCTCTCGTCTTGGAGGCCACGCCTTCCAGTCCAGAGGACAGCTCCAGGATGGGCCCCCTCAACCTCTCCAAGAAACCAGAGATGAAGCCAGCAGCCACCCACAAACTCATGTACCAAGGCAGCCCCCAGGCAGAACCCACCAGCTTCTCCGAGCTGCAGGACCTTCCTCTCAATCTCTCAGTGAAGGACCCCTGTAATGCCCAGGCCCCGAGGCCGCCCTTCCCCAGACGACCACGAGCCACAGAACCAGCTGCTGCTGCTGCTCCACAAAAGACTGGAACAGAAGGTTCCGAAGATGGGCCTGACCGCCCTGAGACCAGGCCAGAAAGCCTCGACAGTGACGAAGCCCCACTCACAGGCCCCAGCGAGGAGGCCACAGCCACATGCACAGTGGACAGCAGCGAGGAGCAGAAGCAGACAGCGGCCGTGGCCCTGTGCCAGCTGGCAGCCTACAGCCCTGGGAACGTCCGGGTGGACGACGGGGACACTGAGGCCCCAGAGCCTGCCTGCCAGCAAGACGCACCCACACTCAGCTCCATGGAAAGCCAAGAGGCCCAGTGTGACCTCAGACCCAAAGGACAAAAGAGGACAAGTCAAAGAGATGCTGGAAAATCCCAGCAAGGAGCTAAGAAGGCAAAGCTGCAGGACACGGCGAGAGTGTTCACGCTGCGGAGGAGGGCCCGGGTGTCCTAACGCCGGGCTCACACACGTGCTCAGAGCCAGGGCCACACCAAGCCTTCCACGGCAGCGCATAGCACCACATCTGAACTGGCACTTCCACATTTTTACAAATGCAGCTTCCTCTTTCTTCTCAAAAACAAAACAAAAAAAAAACAAAAAAAAAAAAAACAAAAATACCCTCAATTCAGTTCAGTTTTAATAAATATTTAAGTATGAACATTAAAAGGTGCTTCTACTTTGGGTTGTAAAAACATCTGAATAAGACCGATAAGTACTTTGAAGTGTAATCCATCTTATAGAAGATCTTTTATAAATGTTTCCTTATAAATATCTTAGCATTAGAACAAATGGTTTTAACTGTTTTTCTATTAGCTCTAGCTGCATGTTTGAAGTAAATGACAATTACTGAAAAAAGGGTCAGAAAAAACATTTTCAGTGCTAGCATGAAAGTGCCGTATATTAAAAAAATGTGATTTGTTATAACTAAATAACACAAATATCACAAGGCTATTTATACAAATAATTTATTTCCACTAGGGAAAGCGTATTACTGGTGACGGTATTATCAATTTATTCTACTTGCTTATAATGTTACAGTGAATGTTCTGGCTTACTCTGCCTCATTTTCCATGCCCCAAATGATGTGTATGTTGCTAATTTTTGAATAAACTCATATGAACCAGAAGGACACATAAAATGAAGATAAACATAAATCTGTTACCCTTTAGAATGTTTTGCCGTAATACTCCACGAAAAAGAGTTGACCGCGAAGGCAGCAATTAGCCTGTGAAAAAGGTGTATCTGCAGGCGCGTGTGCGTGCATGAGATCACGTGGGTGCACGCATGTGCACATCTGCGGGTGCGTCTGTCCATTCAATTGTGTGGATATGCGCACATGCACATCTTCAGGCACACGTGTGCGTAATCTATCATGTGGATGTGCAGATCTGGGTGTGCACGTTTGTGGGTGTGCACATGCTATCTGCAAGTGTGCGGGGGGACTTATCTGTGGGTATGTGCGTGCACATTCAATTTGTGTGGGCATGCATATATGCCTATCTGTGGGTGTTTGCACACTCGATTGTATGGGTGTGCACGTGTCAGTGTGCATGTGTACACATGTGGGGGTGTGCACTTCTACATCTGTGCATGTGTGAGCATGCGAGTGTGCATACTGGTGTAAATCAGTGGCCAAGGACAGGCATGTGCAAGCACACCGGGGCTACTCAAAGGCCATTCACAGGGTCCTCAGGCTTCAGAGCGCTTTAGGAGCGTAGGCTTGGCTTCCAGAGCCGCAGTCCCTACAGCTCTGCTTGAGAAAAGGTCGCCTCCATCCCCCCGGGCCCCTCTCACGACCGTCCTTTCTATCACTTTTCAGGAGAGGCAACCTCTCACCCAACACACTGGAAACCACGCAGTGGGTGCTGGCAATGAGAACTGCTCCCGTGACTGGGAAATGCCTCCTTAATTCAGATGGCTGTCAACGTGCCACTTTCACGGGACTGAGGCCGCCCCGCTGAAGCTGCTCAGTGACGGAGCACAGAGGTCGGGTGCAAGCTTGGAAAAAGTTGAAACACCAGCATTGCTAAAGCAAAATTTCTGCCATTCCTAGCTACCTACTTGTAAGACTTCTTGGCACTCAAAACTAAAAGTAAAAATAGGGGCTGGGCATGGTGGCTCACACCTGTAATCCCTGCACACTGAGAGGCCAAAGAGGGTGAACTGCTTGAGGTCAGGAGTTTGGGACCAACCTGGGCAACATGGCAAAACCCCATCTTGACTACAGATAAAAAAATTAGCCACATGTAGGGGCACATGCCTGCAGTCCCAGCTACTGGGGAGGCTGCGGCTGGAGGGTAGCTTGAGCCCGGGAAGCAGAGGTTGCAGTGAGCCATGATCACACCACTGCACTCCAGCCTGGGTGACAGAGTGAGACTCTTTCTCAAAAAAAATAGCCGGGCGCAGTGGCTCAAGCCTGTAATCCCAGCACTTTGGGAGGCCGAGGCGGGTGGATCACGAGGTCGAGAGATCGAGACCATCCTGGTCAACATGGTGAAACCCCGTCTCTACTAAAAATACAAAAAATTAGCTGGGCATGGTGGCGCGTGCCTGTAATCCCAGCTACTCAGGAGGCTGAGGCAGGAGAATTGCCTGAACCCAGGAGGCGGAGGTTGCGGTGAGCCGAGATCGCGCCATTGCACTCCAGCCTGGGTAACAAGAGCGAAACTCCGTCTCAAAAAAACAATAATAATAATAATAATAATAAAAAGTAAAAATGAAAACAGTACTGTTGCAGAACCTTAACTTATTCTGGTTAAAAGCATGGCTCTGGCCAGGCACAGTGGCACACACCTGTAATACCTGCATTATGGGAGGCTGAAGTGAGAGGATTGCTCGAGTCAAGGAGTTCAAGAACAGGCTGGGCAACATAGGGAAACCCCATCCCTACAAAAAATACAAAAATTAGCTGAGCAATGTGGTGTTTGCCTGTAGTCCCAGCAACTTGAGAGGCTGAGGCAGGAGGACTGCTTGAGCCCAGGAGGTCAAGATTGCAAGGAGCTGAGATCATACAACTTCACTCCAGCCTTGGCGTCAGAGCAAGAACCATCTCAAAAAAAAAAAAAAGCTTGACTCACCAAAAGATAAACTAAACACCTATTTTATTAAGAGTTAAATTTCAAGCCAGGCGCGGTGGCTCAAGCCTGTAATCCCAGCACTTTGGGAGGCTGAGGCGGGTGGATCACGAGGTTGAGAGATCGAGACCATCCTGGTCAACATGGTGAAACCCCGTCTCTACTAAAGATACAAAAAATTAGCTGGGCATGGTGGCACATGCCTGTAATCCCAGCTACTCAGGAGGCTGAGGCAGGAGAATTGCCTGAGCCCAGGAGGCGGAGGTTGCGGTGAGCCGAGATCGCGCCATTGCACCCCAGCCTGGGTAACAAGAGCGAAACTCCGTCTCAAAAAAAAATAATAATAATAAAAATAAAGAGTTAAATTTCAATAAAATGCTATTTTATGTTGTTTCGGCCAACTCTATACTAATAATTTTTAAAAACCCAATCTAGAAAACCTTTTAAATCATCAGCATCTTCAGTTTAAGTGAGCTTTGTTACACCACTGTCAGGCATCCTGTCATAAAGCGGTTTTTCAGTCTGTTTGGGAAAGAGGCAAGTGGGATTTGCGTAGATTCACTTGTAAATACTGGATTGGAGACTTTTGTGCAAGTTTTCTCAAATAAAGGCTAGCAGAAACCATTTTAGGTGTAAAAAAAAAATTAGCATCTTACAACCATACAAAATGTAAAAGTTGAAGTTTACATTCATGTTATTTTCTTTTGTAGCAGATAAATGATGGAAAGATCAATAAAAATTCTTAGGCATGGAAATACATTATATTAGGGTAAAATGCTGGGAAAGAAGTATATGGAAATATGGGCTCGAGAAGAAAAAGAGTAACATTTCTGTGAGAGAAAGACTTGCCTATGAATTGTTTTTTAGACAGGGTCTCGCTCTGTGGCCCAGGCTGGATTGCAGTGGCGCATGCACAGCTCACTGCAGCCTTGACCTTCCTAGGCTCAAGTGATCCTCCCACCTCAGCCTCCCAAAGTACTAAGATTACAAGTGTGACACACGGCGCCCGGCCCTGTGAAATTTTTAATGGAAAATGGTAGATTATTCTACCTAGATGTCCTGGATTTATTTAGATGAGTGATACAATCGTTTTATTTTAAAATGACAATACTCAGCATGGCAAATGGTTATTTGCAACGGGTTAGATTTATATAGAACTTATAAGAAGGATTCCAAAGAAGTATCTGAGGCCACTGCCTCGAGCTGTCCCTAAAGCAGCAGCAAGGGCACCAGCAAGCCCCCGCCTCTAACAGCCACTACATCAACCCAAGGGTCACACGGTCAGATGCAGAATCATAAACACAAATACAGTGCTGACTAGCACGCGGGGACTTCTGTTTATATACATACATCAATATGTTCTGGCAAAGAACAGAAATATCACACCTCCAGCTTTCCAGAAACTAAACAGCCATGTGGGGAGCAGTGACAAGCCATCACATGTCGCGGTCCACAGTGAGACCTAAGGCCTCACACCCTGCAGACAAGGAGCTCTCATGTCACACCCCCAAGAACACAGCCCTTGGTGTCAAGGGCCCAAAATCCTGAGAACATCATTTGATCGCTCAGCAAAAAGCACCAGGAATCATCTTAAATGACAAACAGGAAGCAGCAGAGGTGGCTGAGCGCCTCCTGCCACGGTGCAGCGTGGGGAGCTATGCCTGGCACAACGGCTGCAGCACAGGCTATGCGTGCCTGATGCACGGAGACCTGCACCCCCCCAACACAATCTCTCCAAAGGCCATTTGCAATCACTCATCCGTTGCAACCAGGATAAGCCCTTTGTGTCTATCTTTAAAAGGAAAACAGACTCCTAGAACTTTCAAGCAAAAAAAAAAAAAAAGAGAGACCTATTTTTTAACTATACTACTTTTCTGCATTTATGCGTGATGCAACTTAAGAGCTAAACACTTCTAATTTTTGCATACAAAAAGTTGAACATAGAATTACCACATGACCCAGTAATTCCACTTCTGGGCATATACCCAAAGGAACTAAAAAAAAAAAAGCGGGGGTGGTCTCAGGCAGGTACCTGCATCCACGTCCATAGCAGCATCACTCACAACACACAGCAGGTAGAAACAACCCAAGCGCCCGCTGATGAATGCATCAATCAGGTGCAGTGGTGCACACCGGGTATCACAGCTCTCGGGAGGCTGAGGCAAGAGGGTCACTAGAGCCCAGGAGTTCAAAGCTATAGCGCACTATGTCTGGGCCTGTGAATAGCCACTGCGCTTCAGCAGGGACAACATAGTGAGACCCCATCTTTAAAAAAATAAAGATACGGTATGTCCACACAATGAAATATTATTCAGCCTTTAAAAGAAAGAAAATTCTAGGCAGGGCACAGTGGCTCACACCTGTAATCCCAGCACTTTGGGAGGCCGAGGCAGGGGAATCAAGAGGTCAGGAGTTCGAGACCAGCCTGGCCAATATGGTGAAACCCTGTCTATACTAAAAATACAAAAATTAGTCAGGTGTGGTGGCAGGCACCTTTAGTCCCA